CCTATCCACAAACCTAGCCATACACAAAGTACTAGAATAAAAACTCCAAGCCAAGGAAATCAGCTACACCACAAAAATGCAGACAATAGATGATCTCACAGCAGCAAACCCCAAAGAAGGGAAAAGCACACAGAATAACATCACCTATAACAAATCTAAAATGACAGTAACTAACAATCACTGGTCATTAATATCACTTAATATAATTCAACTCACCTATAAAAAGACACAGGCTAACAGATTGAATATAAAAACAGAATTCATCGGGCTGGAGAGATGGCTCAGTGGTTAAGAGCATTGCCTGCTCTTCCAAAGGTCCTGAGTTCAATTCCCGGCAACCACATGGTGGCTCACAACCATCTGTAATGACGTCTGATGTCCTCTTCTGGCCTGCAGACATACACACAGACAGAATATTGTAAACATAATAATAAATAAATATTAAAAAAAAAGAATTCATCCTTCCTCTGCATACAAGAAATATACCTCAACCTCAGAGACTGACATCACCTCAGAGTAAAGAGTTCAGAAAAAATACACCAATCAAACAGACCTAAGAAACAAGCTGGTGTAGCTATCCTAATATCTAACAAAATAGGCTTCAAGCTAAAATCAGTCAAAAGAAACAAAGAAGGACATTTCATATTAGTAACAGGAAAAATCCAACAAGAGGAAATCTTAATACTGAATGTCTATGCCCCAAATAAAAGGGCACCCTCATATGTAAAAGAAACACTTCTAAAACTTAAATCATACATTAAACCCCACACCCTAATAGTGGGAGACTCCAACACTCCACTCTCACTACAGGACCGGTTTACAGACAGAAACTTGACAGAGAAATAAGGGAACAGGTTTTATGACTCAAATTAACTTAACAGACATCTATAGAACATTTCATTCAAACATAAAAAAATATATGTTCTTCTTAGCACCCCATATAACTTTCTTAAAAATTGACCACATACTTGGTAACAAAGCAAACCTCAACAGATACAAAAAAAAATTGAAATAACCCAATATATCTTATAGGATCACCATAACTTAAAGTTAGAATTCAACAGCAATACTAGTTCCAGAAAGCCTACAAACACATGGAAATTGAACAATGCTCACTGAACCACCAATGAATGGGTCAAGGAAAGAATAAAGAAATTAAAGACTTTCTAAAATTCAATAAAAATTGCTGCACAACATACCCAAACTTATGGGATACAATGAAATCAATATTAAGAGAAAAGTTCATAGTACTAAATGCCTACATAAAGAAGCTGGAAAAATTACCACACTACTGTGTTAACAGAACACCTGAAAACTCTAGAACAAATAGAAGCAAACTCACCCCGGAGGTCTAGACAGCAAGAAATAATCAAACTGAGAATTGAAATCAACAAAATAGAAACAACAACAAGAAAATACAAAGAATCAATGAGACAAAGAGCTGGCTCTTAGAGAAAAATCGACAAAATAGACAAATCTTTATCCAAACTAAACAAAAGGCAGAGAGAGCTATCCAAATTAACAAAATCAGAAATGAAAAGGTGGACAAAATAACAGGCACAGAGGAAATCCAGAGAACCACCAGGTCATATTTTGAAAACCTGCACTCCACAAAACTGGAAAACTTAAAGGAAAAGGACAATTTTCTGGATACATATACTTAACAAAATTAAATCAAGACCAGATTAGAAAATTAAATTAAATAGATCTATAACCACAAAGGAAATAAAAACAGTCTTCAAAAGTCTCCGCCCCCTCCCCCTCAAAAACAGCAAGATTATTTCAGCACAGAATTCCATTAGATTTTCAAAGAAGAGCTAATACCCATGCTCCCTAAATTGTTCCACACAATACAAACAGAAGGAACATTGACAAACTCTTTTTACAAGGCTACAATTACCCTGATACCCAAACTACACAAAGACATTACTAAGAAAGAGAATTACTGACCAGTCTCTCTCATGAGCATTGATGCAAAAATTCTCAACAAAATACTGGCAAACCAATTCCAAGAACACATCAGAAAAATCATCCACTATGACCAAGTAGGTTTTATCCCAGAGATGCAGGGATGGTTCAACATATGAAAATCTACCAGTGTAATCCACCATATGAACAAACTGAAAGAAAAAAACACATGATCATCTCATTAGATGCTGAAAAATTCTTTGACAAAATTCAACACCCTGTCATGATAAAAGTCTTGGAGATAATAGGGATACAAGGAACATACCTAAACATAATAAAGGCAATATACAGCAAGCCAACAGCCAACATCAAACTAAATGGAGAGAAATTCAAAGCAATTCCACTGAAATCAGGAACAAAACAAGGTAGTCCACTCTCCCCATATCTACTCAATATAGTACTTGAAGTTCTAGCTAGAGCAATAAGACAACAAAAGAAGATCAAAAGGATACAAATCAGAAAAGAAGAAATCAAACTCTCACTATTTGCTGACAATAAGTGGCCCCAAAAATTCTACCAGGGAACTCCTACAACTCATAAATGCCTTTAGTCATGTAGCAGGATTCAAGATTAACTCAAAAAAATTAGTAGCCCTCCTTTGTAGAGATGATAAACGGACTGAGAAAGATAGGGCCTCATGGGCTCCTTTTTCAAAGATGTTAAGATTTAACATAACAGGGGGCTGGAGAGATGGCTCAGCGGTTAAGAGCATTGCCTGCTCTTCCAAAGGTCCTGAGTTCAATTCCCAGCAACCACATGGTGGCTCACAAGCATCTGGAATGAGGTCTGGTGCTCTCTTCTGGCACCAGAATATTGTATAATAAATAAATAAATATTAAAAAAAAGAAATCAGAGAAACATCACCCTCCACAACAGCCACAAATAACACAAAATATATTGGGGTAACTCTAACCAAAAAAGTGAAAGACCAATAAGAACTTTAAAACTTTGAAGAAAGAAATTGAAGAAGACACCAGAAAATGGAAAGATCTCCCATGTTCTTGGGTAGGTAGAATTAACATAGCAAAAATGGCAATCTTACCAAAGCAATCCACAGATTCATTGCAATGCCATCAAAATTCCAACAAAAATTTTCACAGACTCAGAAGAACCACCAAGGCCAGCTGGCCTGGGTCTGAAAAAGTCTGGGATAAAACCGGACTCGCTGAACATAGCAGACAATGAGGACTACTGAGAACTCAAGAACAATGGCAATGGGTGTCTGATCCTACTGCACGTACTGGCTTTGTGGGAGCCTAGGCAGTTTGGATGCTCACCTTACTAGACCTGGATGGAGGTGGGTGGTCCTTGGACTTCCCACAGGGCAGGGAACCCTGATTGCTCTTTGGGCTGACGAGGGAGGGGGACTTGACCGGGGGAGGGGGAGGGAAATGGGAGGCGGTGGCGGGGAAGAGACAGAAATCTTTAATAAATAACTAAATAAATGTCTATTGTGGTGGGTAGTGGTGGCGCCCACCTTTAATTCCAGGACTGGGGAGGAAGAGGCATGCGGATCTCTGTGAGTTTGAGGCCAGCCTGGTCTACGAGAGCTAGTTCCAGGACAGGCTCCAAAGTTACAGAGAAACCCTGTCTCGAAAAACCATAACAAAATAAAATAAATATTTCTATTGTAAGTGTATGAATGTTTTGCCTACAAGCATAGGTGTGCACCACATATGAGACTGGTATCTGAAGCCTGAAGGGGTATCAGATCCTTTGGGACTGGAGTTACATACAGTTGTGAGCCACCATGGATGCACTGAGACTTGAACCTGGCTCCTCTGGAAGAGCAGCAGCAAGTGCGCTTAACCCCTGAGTCATCTCCCCAGAATGTTTCAGCTGGAGATGTGGCTTAATGATAGAGTGCTTGCCAGTTGGCACAGACTCTGATCCCCAGATTCTCCCTGCCTTTCTCACACCCCAAAAAGACAGAGCAAGAACAAATATTTCAAGTGAAAAGTTGGACCCATGGTTGCCAAGCAGTTTGTGGCTAAGATCAATTGCACACAAATAAAAAAAAAAAATGCCCAAGGGAATTGTTCACAAAGACCTGTGCTTTTTAATTTTCTCTGTAGGAAATCAAACTCAGGGCCCTGCTAGGCATGTGTGTCACTCACACTCTATCATGGCTAGTTTTAGTCATCTTGACACAAGCTAGAGTCAGCAGAGAGGACAAAGCCTCTATAAGATCAGGCTGTAGGCACACAGGCATTTTCTAAATCAGTGATTAAAGAGGGAAGACCCAGCCCATTTTGGGTTGTTCCATCCCTGGGCTAGTGGTCCTAGGTTCTAAAAGAAATCGGGCAAAGCAGGTCAGTGTACACAGCACTCCTCCATAGCCTCTGCCTCCAGGTTCCTGCCCTGTTTGACTTTCTATCCTGACTTCCTTCAAACTTTATAATCCTATAAAGTGGAAGTATATATAAGCCAAATAATCCCTTTCCTCCCCAATTTGCTTTTATTTGGGGGGGGGAGTTGTTGTTGTTTTTCCAAGACAGAGTTTCTCTGTATAACCACCCTAGAACTTACTCTGTAGACCAGACTGACCTCGAACTCACAGCAATCCCCACCCCTCCCCCCACCCCCCCCACCCCCCACACCCAGCCTCTGCCTCCTGAGTGCACTATCACCGCCTGCCCAATTTGCTTTTGGTCCTGGTGTTTCATCACAGCAATAGTAACCCTAACAAAGATACGCCACTAGCCCAAATTGATTTATAAATTTCAAATTCATTAGTAGGTTTTTCCATTTTTATTCATGAACCTGTGAGTTGGATGGCTCAGTGAAAAGAGCTAGCCTAGCCCTCGGAGATCCCATGGATCTGTGTCTTGCTTCAAGACTGTTTGGACAGAACAGACCCGGGCCTCCCTTCGTTAGCTTCCACTGTTCCTTATCCTCTTCAGTCGCAGCCTCTGGGACCATCTTCTTGCCTCCCTCAGCTCCTAGGACCAGCCAGCACCGTCTCTTTGCAGGTAGCCGCCAGAGTGCGTCTCAGCCTCACCGCCCAGGTTCGTCAGAATTATTCCACCGAAATGGAGGTTGCCTTGAACTGCCTGGTCAACTTGCACCCGCGGGCCTCCTACACCTACCTCTCTCTGGGCTACGATTTTGATCTGGATGACTTGGCCCTGGAGGGTGTAGGGCACTTCTTCCGCGAACTGGCCGAGGAGAAGCGTGAGGGTGCTGAGCGTTTCCTCAAGCTGCAGAACGATCTCTGTGGCCGTGCACTCTTTCAAGATGTGCAGAAGCCATCTCCAGATGAGTGGGGTAAAACCCAGGAGGCCATGGAAGCTGCCTTGACCTTGGAGAAGAACTTGAACCAGGCCCTCTTGGGTGTTCATTTCCTGGGTTCTGCTCGCACTGATCCTTATCTCTGTGAATTCCTTGAATACCACTTCCTGGATGAGGAGGTGAAGGTCATCAAGAAGATGGGTTACCACCTAACCAACCTCTGAAGGTTGACTGGGCTCCAGGCATCTCTGGACAAGTCCCTCTTTGAGCGGTCCACTCTCAAGCATGACTAGGAGGCCTCTCCTTCGAAAGGACTCCCGCCTCTGCTCTGCACTAGCTGGCCTCAGGACCTTCACCCGAACCTCTCAAGAAGCCTCTAGGCAACTTTGTAATGCCCTGGAGCCCCTCTCAATTCTTGGATCAAGTAAAAATAAAGCCCTTTGAAACAGCAAAAATCAAAATAATAATAATAATAATGAAACAGCAAAAAAAGAAAGGAAGGAAGGAGAGAGAGAGAGAGAGAGAGAGAAAGAAAGAAAGAAAGAAAGAAAAGAACTAGCCTATCAACCTGAAGTTGGTCCCTAGAACCCACAGTGGGACAAGAGAATTAACACCCCTTCCAAGCCCCCGTGCAAGAATAAATTGTCCTCTGACAACTACTACCAATACTCAAACATGTATATCACACACATACGCAATCATACAGTAATAAAGCGGAATTTAACAATTTTTAAAGTTTAATTATCACTAGAGATGTAGTCCAGTCGGTAGAGCGCTCGTCTGGCATGCAGGAAGCCCTGGGTTCAGTACCCAGTACTGCATAAAACAGGGCATGGTGGCATCTGCCTCTAATCCCATCACATAGGAACTAGGGGCAGGAGGACCAGAAGTTCAAAGTCATCCTCAGCCACATATTAATTTCAAGGCCAGACAAGGACTCTCAAAAGAAAAAAAAATCTTTAGAAACAAGGTATAGTGGCTTTTCCATGTAATTCCAACACCAGGGAGGGTGGAAGATGAGGCGGGTGGATTGTGATGAATGGAGGAGCTAATGTGGACTAGAGTGAGACCTTACCTCATACCACCAAAAGAATAAAATAAAAAACAATAATAATATTAGTAATTATTAGTTCAGGATGTACCTCTCTGTTAGAGCGCATGCCTTGTATATACGGGGCCCTGAGTTCCACACATAAAACTGTCAAGTAAAGAATTCTTCCAAGTATTGCTGGACTGCGCAGTGTTTGCATGAGGCTCTGGGTTCAACTTCCCAATACTGGAGGAAGGGAGGCGAAGTCATTTACTTTGACTAATATTCTTGGCTTATTTGTTTATTCATCTTTTGTTTTTCTTTTTTTATATAATTCCTTTTTATTTTTAATGTGCATTTGTGTCTTGCCTGCATGTATGTCTGTATGAGGTTGGCAGATCCCCTGGAACTGGAGTTACAGACAATTGTGAGCTGCCATGTGGGTGCTAGGAATTGAATTAGGGTCCCCTGGAAGAGCAGCCAGTGCTCTTTACCTCTGAGCATCTATCCTCTTCAGCATCCATCTTTGGTTTTCCAAGACAGGGCTTCTCTGGATAGCCCTGGCTGTCCTGAAACTTACTCTATAGACCAGGCTGGCCTCAAGCTCAAAGAATTGTTTGCCTCTGCCTCCTGAGTGTTGGGATTAAAGGTGTGTATCACCAAAATGCTTGGGAAACTAATATTCTTATTTTAAAAAGTACAATATATTCTAAAAAGAGACCAAATTATGCTTAATTTTGTATTTTTTTAGATTTTGTAATTTTTGTCCATTTTGTGTGCATTTGGATATAAAGGAGTTGGGGTACACATGCCATGACATTTGGAGGACAACTTTCAAGAGAGTTATTTCTTTTCTTCTACCACATGGAAAGTTAGGCTTTAACCACTGGGCCATCTCACCAGCCCTTCATTTAGCAACATGGCTTTCCTTCCTTCCTTCCTTCCTTCCTCCCTCCCTCCCTCCCTCCCTCCCTCCCTCCCTTTTTTCCTTCTTTCTTTCTTTCTTTCTTTCTTTCTTTCTTGTTTGTTTGAGACAGGATTTCTCTGTCCAGGAGGTTCAGGAACTCACTCTGTAGACCAGGTTGGCCTCAAAGTCAGAGAATGCCCTGCCTCTGCCTCTGAGTGCTGAGATTAAAGCAGTGTGACACCACCACGCTTCCTCTCAACCCTTTTTCTTTGGTGATTCAGGGGATAAAATGTGAAACCACAACAGAATCATGTTGTTAAGGAGCCATATTGTTGTTAAGTCTCCATACTTTACAAGAAAAGGATTCAATTTCCAGTTAAAAATAAACCTTCCAGCCGGTGGTGTCACATGCCTTTAATCCCAGCATTTGAGAGGCAAAGGTATAGGCAGGAAGATTTCTATGAGTTCAAGGCTAACCTGGTCTACAGAGAAAATTCCAGGATAGCCAAAGCTACACAGAGAAATCCTGTTTCCAAAATCCAAAAACCAAATATAGGGGGGGCTCTTTCTGATTCTTAAACCTAATGCACCCTGAAAAACATGTTTTTCAGCTTACACTGAACTGTGATGTCATTGTATATGACTACCCTGTAAACACACTCACAACTATTTTCTGTTAACCTTAGCTTTTCCCCATAAAAGCCGGTAAGGGGCTTGCTCTCTCAAATCCCGATTTAGGGTGAGAAGGCCAGTTTGTGAGACCTGGGCACATCTCTAAAATAAAACTTGCTTTAATCAGACAGTCATGAATTTGGTCTTTCGCCTCAAATATTCAGGTTTTAACAAAAACCCAGAACTTCTCACACAGTAGGCAAGTGCTCTACCCTTGAGTTACATTATCCCTAGGCCTTGATCTGATCCATTCTTGGGGCTTCTGTTGTTGTTGGCTATTAAGATCTAACAGTGAGGGTGAGTCTGAATTCAGAAAAGGAAGAAAACATGGGCTTAATAACAATAAGCTCCCCAAACTGGCAAGGGCCCTGAACTCCAGCCTCTAACAGGAAGCCAAAAGTCTACTAAAATGGCCCATGGTTACTGGATCCAAAAGGAAGTTTCAAGCCAGGCATAGTGGTGCATACCTTCCCAGAACTTGGAAGGCAGAGATATGAGGATCTCTGAGTTTCAAGCCATCCTGATCCATATAGTGAGTTTTAGGAGCCAGAGCTATGTAGAGAAACCCTGTCTCAAAAAAGAAAAGATGGGAGGGGGCATGGGGGGACAACAAAAGGAAATTTCATTGACAGCATTAGCTGTCTTCTTGGGAGATATGAGGGAGTCTCCAAGAACCAGTGAAGGACCAGGTGTTGGTGGCCACCTGGGTGATCTGGTCAGATCTGTATGACAAAAAGCAATCTGAGAATCTGGGGTGACTAATTTCTACTGGCAACAAGGTGGTGTTGTTTTGGGGCTTTTTTGTTGTTGTTTGATTCTGGTTAGTTTTTTGTTGTTGTTGTTTGATTCTGGTTGGTTTTTTGTTGCTGTCGTGTTTTGTTTTTTGGTTTGTTTGTTTTTTGTTTTTTTTGTTTTCCAAGACCGGGTTTTTCTGTTTAGTCCTTCTCCTGGAACTCACTTTGTCTACTAGGCTGGCCAGCACCACAATGTTCTATCTTACTTTTGTTTTCGTGTCTGTCTTGTTTGACTTTGGGCCAGGGTTTCACTCTGAAGACCAAGCTGGCCTCAATTTTGTGGCAATCCCCCTGCCTCAGCTCTCCCTCCTCAGTACTAGAATTACCAGTAAGCACCACCATGCCTGGCGCATCTAACTTAGAGATGTGTCATAATTTAAATAATTTCCTATTGACTGACAATAAACACTTCTCATTTATCACTGTAATGAGTAATACAGGAATGAACACGATTTTAATTATGTTTTGAGTACTTGGACATGAATTCTTCCATAGCATAAATTTTCCAGCACATAACTAATGTTTCAAAAGATAAGCACCTTTTAAATACCTTCCATCTATAATGCCAATTTGCCTTCTAGAAATGTCATATGCGCGTCTGCTTGCAATGGTAATCTATGGATGTTCACGTTTATCTTTTCCCTAGAGAACATTAAATGTATCATTCTTTTTTATCTTTGACAGTTTGATACTTAAAAAAATAGTATCTTAGGGCTATGGATATAACTCAGCGGAAGAGCACTTGCTTTGGATGTTCAAAGTCCTAGATTTAATCTCCAGTAACAAAAAAAGGTGTGTGTATATTTTCCAAGCTAGTAGATGGCAGATTGTGGTATCTCTAGTTCCTTAGGCCATCTCCTGAGTCAGCTAAAAGCCACAGTGACCCAACAATATCTTGGAGTAATTACTGGGCAGGAAGATGGTTGTTGCACACTTGTAGGACATCAACATCTCTGGAAACCTTTACAGAAACAAGTTAAAGTACCTGCCCTTTCTTTCAATGCAGGTGAACAAACACCAACTCTCAGCCATGTCTTTTAGTGCACTGTGCCAGGTGTGCACAACACCAAGCAAAGCCAGGCTGCCCTGAACTGTCTCAAGGTGTCTGATGTAACCCTTTCTCACCATGACAAGGAAAAGCCGACCATGGTCTCTGCCACCCTTTGTAACAGGTCCTCAGATTTTAGCACAACTGATTCCATGATGGAAATGCCATTCAGGCCTTAAAATTCAGCACAGACACAGCACCACCTGCCAAAACAAAAAGAAAGACCTAATCCACCAAAGACCACAGTTCTAAGAACATCTCGAAATGTACTAACCTTGCCTTTTGGCTTCTGTAGTTCCTCTTCTGGCTGACTGTTCTTGTTAACTGAAGTATGTCAACCCAGGATATGATTTTTGGGCTTAAAAACTCACCCTGAGGCTGGGTGGTGATGATGTATATCTTTAATCCCAGCACTTGGGAGGCAGCGACAGGCAGATTTCTGTGAGCTCGAGGCCAGCCTGGTCTACAAAGTGAGTTTCAGGACAGACAAGCCAGGGCTACACAGAGAATCCCTGTCAAAAAACAAAAAACAAAACAAACAAAAAAAAAAAAACTCACCCTGAGAAAAGCTCAGGGCTAAACTGGGATCCTGAAATCAGTGTAGTCTTTGGCTGACTAATAAAGAGTTTCTGTTGGCTTAAACTCACATCAGAGCAGCCTCCTCTGATAGACTCTCCACAATACCTCAAGGTTGTATGCTGAAGCCTACTGGAAAGTCTGCTTACCTGGACCATCTGTCACTTCACGAGGTCACCTGGACAAAACAGGTGGTG